TAAAAACTGTGTTTTCATGCGGAGCAAGATTGTTATCTCGTCGTATTCGTTTCACTGCTTTCCCGTAACCATCTTTTCCCAGTCCAAGATAAACACGTGTTTTACTTCCTTTGCCGATACAAAACTCGTCTGAGAAAATTACACGTACATCGCTCATTTGTTCGACCTCGTCATTGCCATCGCGCCCATACTCAATAAGTCTTTGGAATAATTCTTGATGTTTTGTTGATTCACCAAGGTATTTCCATTCTTGTAACTTCAATTCTGATATTGAAATAAAAGTATTACATTCATAGAGAGCAAATGTGCATGGATAATCATATATAAAAAAGTAGAACAACCGCCATAAAACACTCGTTCAAAGAAAATGTTTTGGAGAGAGTGGAGGGTAGCAAATAGCAAAAATTCAGTTAAAAGAAAATTGCGTATTTTATAACAAACATTTTGTCGCGAACAATTTTAGTGAAACTCTAAAAGAAGTAGTTTAAATAAATTTATAATAAATGTCATTTCGTAGTAAAATTTGTCTTTTAGCTAAGATGAACTCATCTGATTCTGTACATTTTTTCTTCTTTTTCCTATCGAGGTCTTGTAATTGCAGTTCTATTGAATTCTTTAAGAAAGGACGCCCCTCCTTTTCGTATATTTGCATTAGACGCTGCATGGCATTTTTTTGTTTCTCCATATCCTCGCCATTGGTAACAATCTCCAAATAAATTTCATAAATTCGTGTTGATTCACTCCAATCTTCAAGTTTATCAAACAATTCTGCTAATTCCCAATAAACAGCTAACACTCCATTCACAATTCCATCTGAAGTAACAATTGACAAGTTCTTTAAGTAATGGCCAACGAAATCTTTACTAACGTTTATACCACCAACTTTTTTTTGACGTTGTGGTTGTTGTTCTTCTTGATTTCCTTGACGATTTCCTTGCTGTTGTAGACGTTGGCAATCAATAAGAGAGAGCCCTCCTCTATAATGCTCCAAAGATTGCTTATAATTTTCTAGCAACTTATTCAATCTTCCCAATGCAATATGGCAAAGACAGTCCATTTCATCTTTCTTTATGCCTTCCTCCAATCTTTTCGTGGTACAATAAACACTCCCCAACCCGAGGTATATTTGATGTTGAAAATACTTACTTTCCACTTTTGATGAAAAATTCAAGCAATCATTAAAGCAGTTTATTGCTTCCTTCCGTTTATCAGAGAGCGTGTAAGCATTACCAAGGCCAAAATATGCTATCGTTTTCAGGCTATTATCGTCGGTAGAATTCAAACATTTTTAGTAATATTCAATAGCCGTTTCATTATCGCCATTATTCATAGAACAATTCCCTTCTTTCAAGAGCTGCATAGCTGCTTGTTGTCACGGCCGTATCCCTATCTCTTCTCGTGATACGGCAAATATTTGTTTGAGCTCTTGATTATTGTTTCCAACTTTCCTTCAGTGGAACTTTCCAATCCCAACTATGGATTAATCACAGGAAATGTAGTGGTTCTTTTAGAAGCGTTGAAAGAGTATCTGTGAATTAACTTCGACTGTTATTTGTTACAAGCGAACAGAAAAATTTTTCGTTTCATCTATTTCTACGTAGATTCTAGGCGCTCATTTGCTATCGTATTTAACGCAATGCAAAATTTATAACGTCTTATTGACTGTTTTTTTGGGTATTCAATTTAAAACAATAAAGAAAATTAATCGATGGAGATTCTTGAGCTTAAAAAATGATAGATATAAACCAATTTGCTCTTAATTGTGTAAATGTGTTCTGCGACAGTATATGTTATCTGTTTCAAAGACATGGATAAATGAATATGTGACTTGACAATGACCAAGACCTAACTCTTGCTACTATTTTGGAATTTTGTCCTATTCTTATCCTACTAAAGCAGCTATACTTCGTACTAGCTGTGGGTTTTTTCATGAGTAGAAAACATGTGCAGGCATAGCTGAAAAGCAAGTATGAATGCTTTATCCTTTGACATAACCTTTGCTGTAAATAAGCATGCAATTAAAATTATACATAGCTAAAAGTTGCTAGCTAAATGGTTATTCGCAAACAAAATTATAGATTTTCTTGTGAAGTCATTTGTATATTTCAATTATTTTTGCTCCATTTTCACGATGTCGTAGACTGCATATCGTGTTTGGCAAATCGATAGTTAGTTTCGACATCAGTGACTATATGACTTGTCATTGTTAAAATTTCATAATTTATTTATGTTTTTATTCAACTATTCACACATTTATTATATGTATTTTCTTATACTTCCATGCTATTTATCAACAATCTTCAATACTTCCTTTTGTCCTTATTTTCTCACCGCTCAACAAATACGAGCAATTTCACCTGAGTTTTAACACCCGGTTAATGCCCTAATGGCCAGTGGCTCAAAAACTGTCTGTTAACCAACTAATTCTTATAAATATTCACAAATAACAAAATTTTGAAGAAACAATGTTAAAGAAGTTTAGACACAAATGATAAATCGTGCAATCGATTTAAATAATGCCAAGATAACTTGCTCAAAAATTATTTTTTTTAAATTGCCTGCGTGTCATTTCCGGCAACGATTTACATCGTCATCCGACAAGAGAAAATATGAAATGTTTTAGAACAGTTCATCGGCTCAACAAAGTTTTTTCTTTTTTATCGCTGTGGCGAAAAGTATACAAAAAATATAAGGTTAAAGACACAGAGTTAAATACAGAGAGATAAATAAGAGAAACAGAACTAACCTTGGCAAATGAAACATTATAATCATGAAATATTTCACATGTATTCAACCTAACATTTAACGCGTGCCATTCTTTAGTTTTGTTGGGACAACGGGATTGAGTCACCTGATTTTTTCAGGTCCTGAGACGATTGCTTAAATTGTCCAGCAAAGTGCGAAGATCATATCTTCATTTAACAATACAACAAAGTCTGGAAAACTTACAATTAATACGACGATCTTTAAGTGTTTGAAAATTTGAGAAACTTTGATTTCGTTGCCATTTTGTTATAAACAGATTATAAACATCAAAGTATGTTAAATGCGTCGTAGATTAATATCGTTTGATAATAAATGTAAAGCATTTCTATAGATCGCAGCGGGAAACAAATATATTTACTTCAAGAATGGATAAGGAATTTCAAGTACTATTTCAAACGTCATACGCACATGTAACTTATGCCTCTGATTGTAAACAACAGAACGAGCCCTTTTATAGTGAAAAACACCGAATTTCCCTTTGGTTAGAAATTCTTTTTTGAAGAGTTCGCTCTTGTTGGGACTAGGCGACACTGTATCTCCAAAACAGTACTATATGATCTAATAGGTACTATGCTTTACAAACATTTTAAATACACCATAATATTTTTCAATTTTTTTATTTTTAATGATAGATAATTTTCAACTTAGTTATAAGACACCTTCAGTGTGATGGAATACGATATTTATATCATACAGTGTGAATCTGTGAAATGTATAAGATAGAAATTAATAATGTTGAGGTGATACAGAGGCCGCGGAGAGGTTTGAAAAGTGGAGGGGGGGGGGAGGCAAAAGAAGGTGGCAGAGTCGGATTGTTGTTGCCAATGTAGCAAAATTGTTTTCAAGAGTTTTATCAGTAATCATTCAATATAGAAAATTTGTTTGATTTTGTGTGTTCAGACTGAGTGCCCTGGTACGGTGTTCAGGCACGGGTACCAATATGAACACAAAGTTTTGATGGTGCATGTGTATAAGTGCCTGGGTCTGGACACCACGAAAAGAGGTATTACCCAAGTACAGTGCTCAGGCACGGGCACTAATGTGAACGACGACACCTTAGTAACGTGTACAGAAAAGCATGCATTCAGCTCATGGTTTTAAAACTTGTTTACAAAAAAAAACATGAAATTATAAATAGACGAAACTAGTGGGTACTACGTAGTGTTAACAACCTGCAGATTTTTGCCAGAAACAGGGTATCGCACTCCGGCAATCAGTCCGAACGTGCTATAATTAATCAATCTAACGTCAATTAAAAAATTGAAGGTGGAACAAAGGTGAGACACGAAATACTGTTAAGCATGCATACTTATCAAATGTAAGTATTTTCCTGGGGCGGATTTTTATACTTTTACAGTTTACAAAGCAAGAGATATTGAAAAAGTAGGGGTAATTGCCACACTTCTCCGCGGCAATCATATTTTTATCTTAAATCTGCGACTAAGATGGCTTGTAGTGAAGTCGAAACATGTCTGTCATTAAAATTAAAAAATTGAGAAATATTGTTGTTTATTTAAATGCTTACAAAATATTTCATAAAATGAACATCACGGTAATTAATATATGCAAATATATGAGATTAAAGTGGTTTGAGATAGAGACGAAAACACTTGTATAAAAAGATATTAATTATGGCAAAAACGTTTCAAATTTTTGGCTCTCCATTAGATGCAACATACAGTGGTGCTGGCAGTATTTTTTTTGTGGGGGGAGAAGTGTAACACCTCCAAAATGTCACATACAATGCATAACGCAATGTTTTATTCAACTGAAACTTTCATGTTACGTTTACAGAAACCCCAGTATGTGAAATATATTATTGGCAGTCGTCCCTCTTGCTGGAGCCTCTGACAAAATAACAAAAAAAAATGCTCACATCCTGCAAAACATTTATAAAGTACTTAAAACTAGCATATTGAATATTATCAAACGAAAAAAACTTTTTAGTAAAAATAACAACTAAATTGGGACATTGTATAGTGTCATGGAATCCTAATTTGGCTACATTGTTTAACATAAAAAATTGTTCGTATGACTAAGCTATAAAATGTTTCTGAAGATCGTGTCTTGTTTTCCAGTCAGTCGACCTTATGATTTTGTGCACCAGAAGAGGCAGTTCAGGAAAACGTTGCAAGAAATAATTTACATAGTTGCCTTCCTTGACATAACGCAACAGATGTGTACGAGGTTTATCGTTCCAATGCTCATTCACTCTTCTTATGAATCTTAAACACCTTGCCCATGTAGGCTCGTAAGTCAGAGTTTTCTTTTTGACATTCTTTTTAAAGGTTTTGAAATCTTTCAAGACTTCATCATCGATACGCGTCATCCATTCAATGGGAGCATACAATTGCGCAACAACATCTGCATTTGGAGAACTCTGACCTTGTGATTGTTTCATTTCCGGTTGGTTCCCCATATCACACAGCATGTTAAATTTCTCTTCGTCTGGTTGTAGATAAGGGTGTTTTAACGCCTTTTTGGCAGATGGCCTGTCTTCTGGTAAATGTTGTAGCATCCATGAAAGAAGATCTTTAAGTACAACATCATCGATTTCCATCAATCCAACAGGGTTTCCATCTAGCAAGTTTTTCAGTCTATCTTCTCGAGGTCCAAAAGGATGTTTCCCTTTTGTTGAAACATAATAAGCCACGATTCCTGCACTCTAAAATATATAAAAACATAACAGTGTCAACAAAAGATTTCTAAAAAATTTGGAAGTAATTTGCAAATGGTTATATTTTTACACCCACCATTATATCAGACTCTGGTTTGTATCGTGCTTTATCAAATGACTCTTCATCAACGTACGATTCAGGAGCAATCCAATAGTGAGTTCCCTTAGTAGCATTGCTTACATGTGTCTTAAGGCCGTTTTTCAATATTCGACTAATACCAAAGTCAGCTATCAGATATTGTCCTTGTGAATCTCGAAGAACATTAGATGGTTTTAAGTCACGATGAAGAATAGGATTTGGTTCACTATGAAGATCAGCTAATCCTTTTAAAATTTGCTTGAGAATTTCGGGAAGAGATTGTTGAAGATCCTCCAAAGTAGAAGATTTTACAAAACCCTCCAGCGATTCTTCACATAGGTCAAGTATCAAATAGACATATTCAGTTCCGGTATCTTCTTCAAAGTGGTAATAATTCACAACATAACTCGACTTCTTGGCTTTGATTTCATTCAAAATTTTCATTTCGTTCACTGCTTCTTTGGTACAGTTATCTCGAAATACTCGTTTCACTGCTTTTCCATAACCATCCTTGCTCAGTCCAAGATAAATACGGGTTTCATTATTTCCTCTGCCAATGCAAAACTCGTCCGAGAAAACTACACGTACGTCGTTCACACATTTAACCCTCATACCTGGGTCGCGTCCATACTTAATTAATTTTAAGAACATCTCTTTGTGCTTTATTGATTGATCAAAATACTTCCATTCTTTCAACTGCAAGTCTAAAAATTATTTAAAAGTATTACATTTAGGGATAAGGGAAGAAAATAATCAACATTTAGGGATAAGGGAACAATTTAGGGATAAGGGAACAATTTTACTCAAGATACAGATAGGAAATTCCTTCAAGTTTGATCGGATATTACTTTCATTCAATGGTATTGTCCACATTCAATCATAATGCCAATCCCTGTAATATTATATAGTACATTGGTAAATTATTTGAGTTGAAAATAAGAAGCAACTTTATTGTAAGTAAACGGAGGGATATTTGTGATTAAAAGTCCTACAAACAGAGGGAGATTTAGCAAAAGAGAATTTTACAAAATCTTTTCATCGTCTGAGAAATCTAAAATTTTTTTCGACGGTTTGACAGGTGTACATGCGTTTGCATTTCTCCATCTCAAATTGGTTGAAAATCTTCTTAAAGTAATCGCAGATCAACATTCCCAGTAGAAAATGAACATTGCAATCGTCAATCTTCTTGAACTATATATATAACACCAGAATGTGAACTTTAAGTGAAATTTATTGCGTTTCTGTCTGTTTGTGTAACCAACAAGACAGCGTCATCACTGGTTGATTCAATGCTGTGATTGGCCTGGTCAAACGCTCTGCAATACCATTATGCTCTGGAGAATAAGAGCTCGTAGGTTATTGTACAAAACCTTTGCAGTACAAAACCAAAGAAACGCCTCTACACAATATTCACCACAAATATCACTTCTTAAAGCTTTCATTTTATGATCTTCTGTTTGACTTAAAGTATAGCACACGAATTTCTTAAACTTGTTCAACTGATGCTAAAGTGTATTTGGAGATAGCAGTTGAGGTAGAATCATTTATACCAACAGTCGATAATGGAATATACAAGTCTGCGTCGGTCAACAGATATGGTCGCCTCGGTTTCTTTTATTACAACAGAAATATGTTACCGCAAATATAGGAATGAGGATATTTAGTCGTAAACGTCCATCCTCAATTTTCTTTGACGTTACTAAACCTCGCATTGGTCAGCAGAATATTTAATTTCTTTTATCCCTGAAAGCATGCGTTTATATATAATACAATACGAAAAAGTGTTTCTTGCTCTGTAAAAACTTGCTTTGTGCAAATTTCGTGATGAAAGTTCCTTTTACTTTATTTGGCTTTCGGATTTCTTTGACTGCACCATATTTCATCTCATTGAGCATATCTTCCTCTTTGATCATTTTTCACTAATTTGTTGATAAAGTGAGCCGTTTGATGTCTTTTGTCTCAATTGCCAAAATTCATTATTTTCAATGATGTATAACATGATGTATAATATTTCTTACGCTTGTACGGTTTTCAACATCATAAATAGTCTAAATTTTGCACATTTATTTTGTCCAGAAGAGCATAAAGTAAAAACTAATTATGTCTAAATACTACGGGCCTCTCGAAAGCCTGATCTCATGAGAAATTTGACACCCCCCAAAAAATTTAGGGCCCTCTTCCGAAATTTGCCCCCCCTAAGTAAGAACTTTAACTTTATCAAGAAAATGGTGCAATTTTTTCCAAAACTTAAATTACAGCCAATTTAAGATGTGACAAATTATGTGGACGTATACATTTAATAACAAACAAATCAAAAAAATTATTGCACTTCAGCAATGCCGGTTATTATGAGTTGGCGAGCATGTTAATGTTCAAGCGTGAGTATAACTAAAGTAATGACTCATGAAAATCATTCTAGAAATTAAAAAGCATAAAGGCTTAAATGACTCAATCACTTCGTAACACAATCTGCAAACGCACAAAAGGTAGTAATTTACGTTATTTAAAGCTCGGAAATAGTTAAGTGTTTACTAAAATCGAATTTCGAAGAGTTTAAAAGTTATTTATGAAACTTTTTGCAACATTGACAGATTTTTGTCTTATCTGAATCTGTCCACACTAATGCGTTTTCAAAATTAAAAGCAATTACTGAATTAAAAGTGTGTTAAATAATAAACTGCGCGTGCTTATACATAAAGCGCCCACAGTTTTTGAGACATCTTGCGGTATTAAATATATCTTCCAAGGCGAGTAATTCATAATTTCATATACAAAGTTATTCCATCACGCGCTTGTTCTTCCTGGACAAACCCAAAATCTTCCTGGCCTTCTTTCATATGGCTTATTTATTCGATAGTGGTTGTGTGAACCACTGGAAAAAACCAATGTTTGAAGAGTCAACATTCTCCTTTTATAAGTTATCAATACAAGCTAGGAAACAAAATATTAACTTCCAAAATAGGGATTAAACAAATATACAACCTCAAAAGCACATCGCTAAGGCTCGCGAAACTTGTATTTAATGTTAAAAATGCCAAAAAAGTAGTCATTGACGTCATCGCTCTCAAAAGGCTCCGTTTTTTGACTGTCCACATTAAAACAAAACGCACGCATTTTCAAATCCCTCCATTTTTGACAGCGTTTTCAAATCTATACGTTTTCATTTGGCAGCGTGTCCTTTTTTGAGCGTTTCAGTGTGGACGGATGGCCAAAAAGCATAAAAAAATATAAATTTTTAACAGAAAACGCATAAGTGAGGACAGAGTTTAACACAGCGGAGATGCGTTTGCAGAATATATGTATGAAATATGTAAGTGATTCAAGTCTTTGATTTGCTTTTTACTCACACTTTATTGGCGTTAATATTCACATGACGTCATCACCAAATTGCGTTAGTTATTTTGATTAGTTTGATATTATGTGACTAAATGTATAGATCTACATAACTTGTATTATGTTAGACCACCTGTGATCTTGGTTATGAAAAAATTGCACCATTTTTGAAATGGATGTTAAAGTTTGTAAGGGGGGCCAAATTTCCGAATTAAAACCATATTTACTAGGATGTATTGCCCCTGTGGAGACAAATTTCTTAGGAAATGTTCATTATTTATTTCCATGTACATTGCTGATATTGGAACATTCAAAACATATATTTATAAAAATATATTTGCAAAAAATATATTTAGACTGAGCTGAAGTCGTTGTTAAGAGGTGTTTTTCAAAACTCCATAGTAGAATTGAAGACTTAGCCCGGCAGTTCATTAATGTTGCTTCACCGTCCCTGCAAACACTCACTCCTTGTTTATCTCCATATCAATATTAGTATATGTTAAAAATATATTTGCGTTTTAACCATTTCATACCGTCAAAGGGGATGCTGGAGTTAAAATTTTTAAAATGGTTAGCTTGTTCATGACAATCTTTGATGCACTAATGAACAAACATATCGCGACAAATCAAACGCAGAAATTTACAATTCGACTGTATAACCGGAATAACTGACTGACTAGGTTGCATTTTTCACACTTGGATATTTTAGAGATTGATTAGCTACATCATTGATGAAAAAGAAATATTTTAATGGTTAACTTACTAGCAAAGTGTTTTTTCAGAGCTGGAGTGGATTTCCCTTCGATATACATTATGATTTTGTGCACCAGAAGAGGAAGCTCCGGAAAAATATGCAGGAAATACTTTTTATAGTTCCCCTCACTTGGCGGCAGTTGTGGATGAGGTTCATCTTGCCAATGCTCGCGAAAGTTTTGTAAAAATTTTAAGCAGCCTAACCATGTAAGGTCAAAGTCATTGAAATTGTTAAAAATTTCTACGTCGATACGGTCCATCCAATTTTTTGGATGATTTAACTGCTTATGGACACCTGAGTTAAGAGGATCCCTTATCTCTATCTCTAGTTGATTCACCACATCACACAACATATCAAAGTTCTCTTCAGCAGATTGCAGATATGGATGTTTTAACGCTTCTTTGGCAGATGGTCTGTCTTCGGGTTTATGTTGCAGCATCCATGAAAGAAGATCTCTAAGTTGACAATCACCAATTTCTTCCAATCCTACAGGGTTTCCATCTAACAAGTTTTTCAGTCTATTCTTTTCAGTTCCAAAAGCATGCTCCCCTTTCGTTGCAACATAATAAGCCACCATTCCTGCATTCTAAAATCAATGAATAGGTGAAAGTGTGAACGAATGCCAAAAATTGAATTTCATTATTCAAAGTTACATTTCTACACCTACCATCACATCAGACTCTTTTTTGTAACGTGCTTTATCAACCGACTCATCATTTTCACGATATGATTCAGGAGCCATCCAATACTCAGTTTCCCTGTAAGTGTTGCTTGTATATGTCATAGAGCCATCCTTCAATACTCGACTGATACCAAAGTCGGCTATCTGAAATTTTCCTCGTGCGTTTCGTAGAACATTGGAAGGTTTCAAATCACGATGAAGAATTGGACGCGGACCTCTATGAAGATCAGCTAATCCTTTTAAAATTTGCTTGAGAATTTCGGGAAGAGATTTTTGAAGATCCACCAAAGAAGATTTTACAAAACTCTCCAGCGATTCTTCACATAGATCAAGTATCAAATAGACATATTCTGTTCCAAGGATTTCTTCGTAGTAGGAATAATTCACAACATATTGCGAGTACTTTGCGTTTCCCTCATTCAAAATTTTCTTTTCATTCTCCGCTATTTTCATGCAGCTATCTCGACGAATTCGTTTCACTGCTTTTCCATAACCATCCTTTTTCAGTCCAAGATAAACACGGGTTCCATAATTTCCTTTGCCGATACAAAACTCGTCCGATAAAATTACACGTACGTCGTTCAAACGTTCAACCTTGATATCTGGGTCGCGTCCATACTTAATCAATTTTAAGAGCATCTCTTTGTGCTTTATCGATTGATCAAAACACTTCCATTCTTTCAACTGCAAGTCTAAAAATTATGTAAAAGTATTAAATTTAGGGATAAGGGATGAAAATAATCAAACATGTGGAAGTAAACTGAAAGTAATTCATCGCACACAAGATTCGAATACGTCCGAATAACATAATAGTATAGGCTCAGCTTTTTGGTATATTATTCAATACATTAAATGGTAATGTATTCATTTTTTTTCAAAAAGGCTAATCTTAATTTCGGGCAGTGAAATTTTACTCAAGAGACAGATCGGAAATTCCTTCGAGTTTGATCGGATATTACTTTCATTCAATGGTATTGTCAACATTCAATCATAATGCCAATCCCTGTGATATTATATAGTACATTGGTAAATTATTTGAGATGAAAATAAGAAGCAACTTTATTGTAAGTAAGCGCAGGGATATTTGTGATTAAAAGTCCTGTAAACCGAAGGAGATTTAGCAAAAAAGACTTTTACTAAATCTTTTCATCGTCTGAGAAATCTAAAATTTTTTTCGACGGTTTGACACGTGTACATGCGTTTGCATTTCTCCACCCCAAATTGGTTGAAAATCTTCTTAAAGTAATCGCAGATCAACATTCCCAGTAGAAAATGAACATCACCATCGTCGATCTTCTTGAACTATATATATAACAACAGAATGTGAACTTTAAGTGAAATTTATTGCGTTTCTGTGTGTTTATATAACCAACAAGACAGCGTCATCAGTGATCGATTTAATACTGTGATTGTCCTAGTCAAACGCTCTGCAATACCATTATGTTCTGGAGAATAAGAGCTCGTTTGCTCGTAGGCAAACGCACAAAAAGTAGTAATTTACGTTATTTAAAGCTCGGAAATAGTTAAGTGTTTACTGAAATCAAATTTCTACGAGTTTAAAAGTAATTTTATGAAACTTTTTGCAATATTGATAGATTTTTTGTGTTATCTGCATCCAGTGGCGTAGCTAGCGAAAAACATTTGGTCGGGCTCACGAGGCGCCACCATGGTTGGCGCCGAGCGAGAAAATTTTCCGAATTTAGACTCCCTAGAACGTCGGAAACGGCTATCTTAGAAAGCAAATGCGTGATATTTATGCAGGAAATAGAACCATTTTGGTTATTTTAAATTGCCGAAGGATCTTATAGTAAAGCAGAGAAACAGTTCAAAAATAGTTGCAGATATGTGATTTATTATCTCAACACCACATACATAAATAGATACCTATGTACATCTTGTAAAGAAACTTTGACAAAAGAACCGAAAAAGGCTCAGATTTGTCATCAACAACTATCAAAAGTTGTGATGAAATTGTCGTGCTGAAATGACAATCATCATTGACTGCATTAAAAAGTTCCCGGAAAAATTCTCACATGCCATGGACGTAAGACATCATCAGCTTGCTATCAGCCATATACGAATACCTATTTGTATAAGAAAGCAAGTCTTCGTGGTTTTTCAATGAACTTCTTTACTACCTCATCATGTGTTGGCGTCTTCTTTCTCTGACAGTATGTCTTTGTGAATGGAAATCCAGCAAAGAGAACTAAAACGTCCTTGGCTCATAGTATTTCTAAGATAATTTTTTACCCTCTTCAAACAAGAAAATGAGCTCTTAACTGAAGCACTTGTAATTGACAAAACCCCATTTATCTTTAACAGTTTTACAACTTCTGGAATACTAGATTGATAATGGAACTGAAAAATATATTTCAATAATTCATATCATGAATCACAGTGAAAGTCTTTATCTCTGTAAATAAAACAAAGTTGGCTAACTAGCATTGGTATGTCAAACATATCACCATAAACCTCCTTTAGAAGATTAATCTTTTCTGAGGGCACTTCACCTATCCACATCTTAAACACCCTAGGGTTAACAAGGTCAAAAATCTAAAACAATCCATATCCTGAAATCGCTCAGTCAGCATAGTCACAATTGTGTCAAGAATTTCAAAATACATTTGTTTTTAATTATGCCGTTGGTCATACCTGGTTACTGGTGGTCCCACTTTCTCAACAGCCAGGTCGTACACCTGACAATATTCTGTATCATTTCTCAGAGAAGCAACAAAGGCCTTGAATCTCTCAAACCTACTCATTCCATAATGAAAGTCAGTGTCCTTGTCTTGCAACATAGAATAAAGTATGGATGACTGCTCAAGAATTCTCTGGAAAACATGTACCAAGAAACAAAACAAGAAGCCATTAAGGTAGCCAAGTAAACCAGTAACCTTACTTAACGTTTCATCATCCCAACCTATTGGATTATCAGTAAGATTTTCAAATATGTCTATCAGTTTCTCACAGTTAGAATGCAAGACATTGATGACATGAGCCCTATAATACCATCTTGTGTCACCAGGACTAGGAAACTCAAGCCTATGGGATGATAGTAAAGCTTTTCTTTTGGGGGGAATTGCTAGTAAAGGTGCAGAAAGCACTAATATTAACAAAGAAAATCTTAACAGGTGAGATGGAGGATGCAGCTTGACATAATACTAGATTTAGTCTATGGGCAGCACAGTGAACAAATTGAGCATAAGGATAATCCTGCTGAACTTGAGCTTGAACACCATTGAGATGACCAGACATAACAGATGCACCATCATAAGTCTGTCCAATAAATTTCTCTTTCACATTATTATATTGACTTAACTCACCCTTAACCACTGATGATATAGCAGTTGCAGTCCTATCACAACTAACATCAACAAACCCAAGCTGTCTTTCAATGACACTTTCCCCTTTGTCCATTCGAACAATTACACTCAATTGTTCTTTGGTAGAAACATCAGTTGCCTCATCAGCCTGTATAGTTAAGAAAGTGCAGAAATATATTTCCTTTAAAATCTCATCCTCTATTATCTTATCAAGACAATCAATCAAATCATTCTGAATATCAGGAGAGACTCCAGTAAAATGCCCACCCCCAGAAAGGTGGGTTTCAGCAAGCCTTCCATGTAATCGCCTTTCAAAAACAGAATCCATCTTGGCAAAACTTTCAAGTAGCTCTCTATAATTTCCTTTATTCATGCTGCTACTAGATTCATCATGCCCCCTAAATGCAAGCTCTTGCCTAGACAAGTATAAAACAGCTTCTGTTATGGTTTTCAACATTTCCCTGTTTTGCCTTACCTCCTCGTTATGACGCTGAATCTCTTCACGTCCAGTTTGTGACATGAGACAGTCGATACGAGGCTGAAAACCGTAGGTCTTCCAGGTCTTGTAGGCACCATGTGCGTTTTTGCCTTCTCATGCTTCTTACAATCGGATAAGAAATTCTTCATGTTTTTGAATCCCATCTGCGTCCATGAAGATGACGATCCAGGGCAAAATAAAAGACAAGGCCAACAGAAAAATGCATTCTTTTCTGAGCTACCACAAAGTCAATCTTTCTTCGAGTACCAACTTTCCTGAAAGCTTCTATTGCCTGTAGTCGCTTGTAAATTTGGAATTGGCCGCTGCTTTACGAGTATATTTCGCTCACCTGATTGTCGAACAGAAAAGGGTTTCTTTTATAGTTCACTTATTATATCGATTTCATTAGCCGAAGCCATTGTAATGTAAGTTATCATGATTTCCGAACGTATATTTCGAAAGCTCAAACTTCAAGTCACGCTTTTGAAAATAAGCCCGACTAGATGTTGTTAAACGTTTGAGTGTGTTCACAGCTACTCTCAACCAATCAGATTACAGATATTCCCACTATAGATTTTATTACTTGGTCGGGTATGGCAAGCCATTTCGGAAAAAAAGTGGTCGAGAAAAAAATCTCCGTTGAGAAAGCAAACCGATGTTGAGAAACACGTGTTTATCATTGAGAATTTGCAGATGGTAGTTCAGAAAAGCAAATATATTGTGAGAAAAAATTCCCGGTCGAGAAAAAAATCCCGGTCGAGAAAAAAATCCCGGTCGAGAAAAAAAATCCCGGTCGAGAAAAAAATCTCGGTCTAGGCCGTATTCTATGGTGGATTGTTGTTCAGGTTGAGATGCAGAAATTCATGACTAAGTAAAAACAACATAGATGTACTGATATGTACTCACTTAACATAAATCTGCCTGTTTACATCCCGAAAAGTTGCAATCAAGAGAGCTAGAGCCATCAAAAATTCGACATTTATTTTCTATATCCGCCATATTGTTTTGTGTGAAATTCGCTAAATTTGCTGGCTCATATTCAAAACAACGGTGCTAAATTATGATTAAGGTCAATCTTTCTAAGTTAATTTGAAATGATATGTTTAGCTATTAATCTTCCATAGCTGCTTGATGGACAAAAAGACTAAAAAATGAAAAAACAATTCTTGAAATTGAATTGCGAAGGAGTCCTTCATCTTTTTGTGTAAATAATATAACGATAATAAATTGGCACATGAGATTGCGTACTCAGAATCCTTTGGTCGCCATCTAGCTCCTGCTGTACACACTGCTGAGCAGTGCATTCTTAATAGAATATTTCATTGAAATCGTTTATGAAGTTTTCATGTGTATCGTCGGCATCATCGTAATCGCTATCATCGCACTCATCCGGCTCTTTTATTGGGCCGTCATCTTCAGAGGCGTAGTTACTGCAGTCAGAACAACCGCAAATATCAGTACATTGCAAACCAGACTTCACGCACGAGCATCGAAGATTCTTGCAACCAGCTTTACACTTGCATGTCATGCATTCAATAAGTGTATCTGGAGCAGATGGTCCAGTCATCCAAAGAATCTCTAACTGACCATTTTTCATATGCCATCCATGGCTCACAGGAGGTTGAACATTAATGTGCGATTGCAAACTATTCTTCCAGATGGCTGCTTGGTAGTTGGCTCTCTTAATGTGCAAAAGCATGCTATCTGCATTCGGGGGAAGGCATTCGTCCGAACACTTGCCAGATGCAACGAGAGTGTACCTAGGACCGAAAGAAATACAAAGCAAATGCAAAAAAGACAATAGTAGCAAAAATATATTTACATTTACCTTGAAGCATTAACTATCGCTGAACTCTTGTCAATAAATAAAGATCTTTACCAAATTGTAGAA